AATCTAGTAGGTTCTAGGTACCGTTGCTTATCAAGAAATAATTAGTTAAGGAGCCAATTCAAAACTGCAGTAGTAGTTAAAAAATAAAAACATGAGGTGTTGTAGACAAACGTAGTCATAAAATGCTTAATCTAGAATAGTGACCATTGAAGTTAGACAAAGAGAACAGAGGTTAGAATTCATTGTTGTAAATTCTTTTACTTTGCGACTAATGCTAGACTTTTCAGGTGTGCTTTAGAGGCTGGTGTTACTCAAGAAAATCATTGTCTTTTGTTTTACAGTGGGCAAATCAAACTAGCAGATTTTGGACTTGCTCGACTCTATAACTCTGAAGAGAGGTAAGACATCAATATTAAAGTGAGAGTTCTTTTTATTATTGGATATTCTAGCAAGTTGCAATACTGTCAGAAGTCTGTAATTATCTGAATGTGTTATCACCTAGAATTTAGACAGTAAATTCTATATAAGTGATTGAATCACTCTTTGGTTGAAACAAGTCAACCCAAATTGCATGGAAGCTTTCTTCAGCTCTTATTTCTGTCCAATTTATTTTGAACTGTTAGGTTGTTATGGAGCTGTTATTAACAATCCTATCTTTAATTAGCAGCTATTTCTGTTTTCAGAAATAGAAATTGTATATACTTTTTTGTTCAAGTACTTTTTATGAGGAGCCATGTTTATGTCATCATTGTTTTTGACATTTCAGTCGTCCATATACAAACAAAGTCATTACTCTGTGGTACCGACCTCCAGAGCTGCTGTTGGGAGAGGAGCGCTATACCCCAGCCATAGATGTTTGGAGCTGTGGGTAAGAGTCTCTTAAACTTTTTCTTTTGTCTGTAATTCACATATTGTTCACAAATATTGTTTTCTTTCCATATTGACTTTTTGCAGCTCTTGTTTAAGTTCAGAAAAATGGGAATAGACTTTTTGGACAGATCCCAGAGAAATCTGCTGAACATTTTCTTAAAACTAGAGACACACTTTTTCTTAATTTAACACTTGTTCAGCTGTTTGTTTTGGGTAGAGGGGAGGGGACATCTTTTGTTTGAATTGGTATTCAAATAAATTCAAATGATGTCCAGAGACTGTTATTGATTGATAGCTAAAGTACTTTCATTTATTGACCCCGTCATCTCTTGTTTTCTTTTTCCTTACAGTTTATAAGGGTCATTTGTCCTATAGTTTACCATAGTCTGGATTTTGCTGATTGCATTTCCATAATGGGTTTTTTTTGTGTGTTTTTTAAAGCATGATTCTGTACTCCCTTTAATTTTCTCTAAATTTTATGTGAATTCAAGTTTGATTGCCAACTCAAAGCATAATTTCCACATGGTTTTGAATACGTCTAACAGAAGTTAGGGAATATGGTGGCTCTGTAGGATAAGCACTGGTGTGCAAACCATAAGTTCAGTGGTTCAAGCCTACTAGCTGCTTTTCAAGAGAAAACCTCATCTTTCTGTTCCCACAAAGATTTACAACCTTGGAAACTCTGTACAGGGTTGCTACGAGTCAATCACACTTAACTGCAACATAAGTTTTATAATTAATGTTAACATTAAAGTTAGGGATAGAGAGCAGAGTACAGACATTAAATGAGTGCACTTTCTGTAGAGAATTTAATAAATTGTTTTAAATTCGTTTGCTTTGTATTACCACTATGTGCTGGGAGTTCTAAATGTCAGTGATAAAGCATTCATCTACATCAGGCAATTTACACACACACACACACACACACACACACACAGCACTCATACCATTTTACATAATATGCAATCATCTATGGATGATCAGTGCCAAAATTAATTAATTCATTTGTATGTTTTTTTGTAATGGCTATATTCTATCACTCCTTTCTGGAATAATTGAAAAAAGTTAACACCATACTAGTTTAGCTAACCCTAGGTACAAATCATATGAATGGTAGGATGAAGATTTGATTCTTTAATTTTATTTACCAGTTTTCAAGATACCTAGGTTTCTTAGCATATCTTCCAAAGATAATCAACAGTAGCTTGTTTTGCTTTAATTTCATTATAAGCTCGTAGATTTAATACATTATGGTGGTTATTCTTATTCCTGCTCAAATTATTCCATCTTTGGCCAGTGGGAACTTACTTAAGTTAATTCTTACAAAGTAAAAGGACTCAAGAATTAACTTTTAGCACAACCACAGTAGTTTTTGAAGGCCTTTCTTGTTTGATGAGGTTCTGAGCTCATCCCGTTTATTTCTTACCTCCGACCTGGAATCAACCATTTTTCTAGGGAGCCTTGATTTCCTTTTAGTAGAAAATTATAGTTAGAAACCACAGTTTAGATGTTGCGGCATAAACGTTTTAAATTGACCGTGTTACTTGTTTCTTAAGTTGTATGATTATACACTCTTGACCTCCATACTTTATGACTCAGACGTATGTACTTCCCATTGGAACATACATGTTACTTTCTTCCATTCTTACTTTCCTCTATTAATGTCACTCTTTAAAAGGAGCACTGCAAAGGTTTTCTTTCAATATTCAAAAGGCTGAGGTGTAGGGAGTGTATAATTTCTGTGGTAGCCTGCCCAAATCAAATGAAGCTTTAGTTAAATTTTAGTGACTCAAGCTGGGTATGTTTGTGTTCTGGACTATTTGCTCTAACAGTATTAGCATTTAAATTGTTACAACTAGGCTCTAAAGTTAACGCCCCATTAAGATGCATGGGGAAAGTTCATAGCTCTGTTGGTATTATTATTTCAGTGTGTGCAACCTGCCACCTCAGTGCAGCAGCAAAATGTTGATTATATAATAAGATGTCTTCCCCACCAAAGGGATGAAAGTTGAAATAAAAGAAAACAAATCACACAATTCAAAATGAAATCTACAGAAAATTAGACCTTCTTGAAAGACCATTGACTCATTAAATTGAGATTTTGCTTGACTTTTCATGTTAGCTTGCTACTTTGGTGATCTACGAAGATATTCTTTACAGAGAAGTTCAGTTTCCAAATCAAAGGAGAAACGGGAACAATTAATATCTTGAAAATTGGTATCCCAAAAATTCAGTGCTTTTTTTTCTCTTAACAATGCTAAGTTGTGACAGTATACTTGTATTTAGAACTTGATTTAGCAGTTAGTAGGGGAAACGATGTAAGGAGAGCTGGTGTCATTGTACAATTAACACTGAACTGCTAATCCCATGGGTTGGCAATTCAAACCTTCCAGTCACTCCTTGGGAAAAAGATGAAGCTTTCTGTTCCTGTAAAGATTTACAGCCTTAGAAGCCCGCACACTACAGGGTTGCTATAAGCCGGAATCAACTTGATGATTGTAGGAAACAAATTTACTTGTTTATCCCTGAATAAAGTTTGAGAAGAATATTAGAAGTAAGAATTTATTTGTCATTTGAGGTCAATAAATGCAATCTGCATACTAGAAAAGTACTAATTAGTTTAAAAGCCAGGTAATTGTTTTCTGTTTTTTAATCTAAAATTTAGTTGAGCTAAGGAGTCCTGGTATGGCGCTGTGTGTTAATGTGCCAGACTGCAAAGCCATTTGAACTGCAAAGTTAGCGGTTCAAGCTCACCAGCGGTTCCTCGGAAACCCTCTACAGGGTTGCTATGGGTTGGAATCAACTCAACAGCACTTAACAACCACAACAACAAAGGAATTTCGAAGTAAAATTTTATAATCTGATTTTATGTTTATAAACAAATCCCATTTCAAAGCAAAGATTCTTTGCCCTTTTTTTATTAAAAAAATGCAGTATTCATATACTTTTTTTCTATACTTAAAATCATTTTAAACTTATGAAGAGTTGGCAATAATATGAACTTTGATATAACCTTTATCCAAATCTACTAAAAATTTATAACTTTTATTGAGCTAAACAATAAACTGCATATATTTTAAGTGTACTGTTTAATAAGATTTTTGTTGGTAAGTGCCATTAAATTGGTTCTGACGCATAGCAACCCTGTATAGCATTTCCAAGTAGTGACTTTTGGGTTTAAACCACCAACCTTGCAGTTAGCAGTCCAGTACTTATCCTACAGCGCCACACCAGTGGCTCTTTGTAGTCTTTGTCTCGCCCACGCAACAATGTTTCCAGGCAACCATTACTCTGCTTTCTATCACTATAGATTAATTTCCATTTTCTAAAATTTTATATAAATGGGATCATAGTATATTTCTTTTGGAATTTATTCACTCAGCATAATTGAGATTCATTCATGTCAGATTCATTCATTTTTAACATCTTACAATATTTGCTTTATGTTTATATCTTCATGTATACGTTTCGTTAAGTGCTGTTGAGTTGGTTCCAATTCATAGCATCTTTGTATAGGGTTTCTCAGGATTTTGAAGAACCAACCTTGCTGTTAACAGTCCAGTGTTTATCCTATATCACTACACCAGGACTACTCTATATTTACATAGATCTTTATAAGATATATAGCATGCAGTAGATTATATGTGTGCATAGATTTAAGTCTGCGTTTAGCATGTTTTTTTTCCCAGAACTAATTGAAAGTAGTTGCATATATCATGTGCCTTTTTGTCTTATATTTAATGTTTATTAAGTAAAAACAAAGATATTCTTACATAACCACAGTACAATTACCAAATTTAGGAATTTTAACATTGATACACTATTTTAACCTAATAAGGTACTTTAATATTTCATATTCTAGTTTCATCTATACCCTAATAATAAGCAATCTCCTTATACCTGATGCAGGATTCTGATTAATCCAGAACAGTTCCTCAGCTTTTGCTTATCTTTCATAACTTGTTTTTTAAGAATATAGACCAGTTGTTACATAGAGTGTCATTCAGGGTTTAACAGACATTTCCTCCTGATTAGATTTAAACTGTTAATTTTGGCTGCAGTACTACATTGGATGTTACGTTTTTTTCAGGGAATATAAACATCTGTACTAAAAACAGCAGAATCTATTTGCCCTTATTGTTGAGGTTAATTATGGTCACTTGATTAAGGTGTTGTCATATTTCTTTCCCACTAATGAATTACTAACAAGTAACTTGTGGGGAGAATATTTAAGACTGTAAATATTTACATGAATTTTTTTTTTTCTTTCTAAATTTCATCTTGTTGTTTTGATAATATACACAGCAAAACATGCTCCAATTCAATCATTTCTACATGCACAATTTAGTGACATTGATTAAATGCTTCAAATTGACCTCCATTACTGCCCCTTAAGGTTCCTGTTTAATCTCATGAGTTGCTATCATCACTGCAGTCCCATATAGATAATTCTTAGAGAGCACAGTGCTCAAGGCAAACTTGTTAATAGTTAAGCTGAATAATTACTCAGTTTTATTTCAGGAGAAATTTTTGTTTAAGATTTAAAGATTATCTTAGGGCAGTAATTTCAGGATTCATCCACACCCTGCATGACTCCAGAATTCTAGACTCATGAAATTTAAAAATTCTGGTCTATATTTTCCCTCTTTGGGTCAGGAATCTTTGATCAAAATGTTCAATAATGATAGCAACTGTTGGTCTTATGACAAGGTGGGTAGTTCATGTAGTGTGAGTGTAGTCTTGAAAGGACTTTGAAAATGGCAAATGGATTTAAGCATCATTTATTTGACAAGCCTATTGAAACAGATCCTAGTTGATCACAAGAAACTGTTTTCTTTGCAAATGTAGTGTCCAAAGAAAAATAGTCTAGTACATATTCTACAGAGCAGATGATTGAAAAACTAATAAAAACTGCAGAGCATTCTTGAAATAATTAATTCTTTCAGTCTTTAGGTAATTCCTTAATTTGCAATGGAATTGATAGAAAAACTCGACTCCCTTTCTCTGCATATAGAGTCAAAAATTTGGCAGATTTGATCTTTTCACAAATTTTAACATACTGTCTGTGCTCGCTACAGTATTTTTTTTTCTTGACAAAACTCAGGTACTGCATTTTTGGGTCAATTTTCAATATAGGGATGGCACTTAGCAACAATAGAGTAAGTATATCAGATATAACCCAATAGACTGTAAGCATTTATTGAACACACTTTAAATTGGCTTTAAGGATTTTTCCCTGACCTCTCAATTTTATTTTTTCTAGATGCATCCTTGGGGAATTGTTCACAAAGAAGCCAATATTTCAAGCCAATCTGGAACTGGCTCAGCTAGAATTGATCAGGTAACAAATGTGATTATGTTCTGGGTACCCAGATGTATGATAGGTAATCTCTTCCTCTATTTTAATACTTTTAAATAATTTTACTAAAATGATTTTTTTGTGCTCCTTATTTCCAGGTAAGTTTCTTTTCTCTACAGGATTACTTTATATTTTTCATAGACTATGTATGTAAAGGAATTGTACTCCATAGAGTTTTTAAGTCTTGTATATTTTTATTGGTTCTTAATATGAAAGCTGGGTTAATACCCTGAACTGCGAGGTTGGTTTAAACCACAAAGTTGTCAGTTCAAGCTCACCAGCCGGTCCTCAGAAATGCTATACAGGGTCATTATGAGTTGGAACCATCTCGACGACATTTAACAACAACAATATGAAATTTTGTAGGGTGGTTTTTCCATCTTAATAAATTAAGATTCAGTTTATTCGGTAAACATTATTAAGTCTGATATGTAGCAGATCCTTTCTTTGTTGAATTTTAGGCTTCAGAGATAAAAGATAGATCTTGTCTTTAAAAGCTTGTTGTTGTTAAGTGTGGTCGAGTCAATTCCAATCCATAGTGACTCTGTATAGGGTTTCCAAGGAGTAGCTGGTGAGCTTGAACCGCTGACTTTTGCAGTTCAAATGACTTTGCAGTCTGACGCATTAGTCCAAAGATACAGTATATAAACATATAATTATAAAATAGAAATATTAAATAATACAGGATTAGGGGGACAGATCTAGGGTTGGGATGGAATTTTAATCGGTTTATTTGTTTTCCATAAAATTAAAGGAAAGACTACAACAAACTAGTGTAGACATATGTTAAAGGTGGTATATAGCACATATGTAACACACCTCATTGTTATGCAGTAAACTCAGTTATCCATCACTTTCAGTCTTAGCTAGTCTTCTCCCTGTTTTCCCTAAAAGGGTTTTAAAAGACCATTTTAGGCTTTGACAGCTATTGTATAAATTACTACTAACGGAACAGAACAAATTTGCTAGTGAAAACCTATTCAGGGAATTAAAAGCATATTTTATAAAGCCAAATATGTTGATAATTTTGTATTTTTGTGGTAATATTCACTGTCTGGTAATTAACCTTCTGTCCTGTTCCTTCTGTCTTTATACAGTGAGGTCATAGTTTACCTTTTCTGTACACCCGCTAATGTAATAAGGCAAGATTGCCAGACCTTAGGAGATAATAAATTTTGCTTCTAGAACTGCTAAAATTCATGATGCTGACTCACTGATTTTGTTGCTCTTGCTTTTTACTTTGTTTTCAGTCGACTCTGTGGTAGCCCTTGTCCAGCTGTATGGCCTGATGTTATCAAGCTGCCCTACTTCAACACCATGAAACCAAAGAAACAATATAGGAGGCGTCTACGAGAAGAATTTTCTTTGTGAGTTTAACAAAAATAAACATCTAGTTTCTGTATCTAGCTCATGTTAGTTAGGACTTGGATTTTTCCTGACCTAGGAATTTAGTGATGTCCTAGATTATTATGAGAACACACTGTAGGAAAGCATTTTGAACAGTTTGTGAGTTTCATTATAGCTTTATTCATTGTTTTGTAATTTTTTTCTTCTAAAGTTACTAGATGATAGAAAAACATTTTGAATAGTATATAAGTGTTCTCATAGTCCTTTTGCTCTTCCAAAGACAGTGGATAATGGATCTGCTAGGATTTTTCCTTATCTGTATTGTTGTTGTTATTATGTGCTGTGTACAGGGTTTCCGAGGCTGTAAATCTTTATGGGAGCAGAAAGCCTCATCTTTCTCCCACAGAACTGCCAATAGTTTTGAACTGCTAAGATTTAGCAGCCTGATTCGTAACCACTAGCATATACTAAATCCTGTGTGAAAGTAACTCTTTCCACAATTTTACATGAAGCTGGAGCAATATAGACTTTGTGACATAAAGTTACATGTTTGAGAACTGTGGGGTTATTGTGAACTTGTCCTTTCTCTGTTCTTTTCCACAGCATTCCTTCAGCAGCACTTGATTTATTGGACCACATGCTGACACTAGATCCTAGCAAGCGTTGCACAGCTGAACAGACTTTACAGAGTGATTTCCTTAAAGATGTCGAACTCAGCAAAATGGCTCCTCCAGAGTAAGTGCTGATGGTCATGTTGTTGTCGTTAATGCCATTGAGTCAGTTCCGACCCATAGCGACCCTGTATAGGGTTTCCAAGGAGCGACCCTGTATAGAGTTTCCGAGGAGCAGCTGGTGAGCTTGAACTGCCGACCTTGCAGTTCAAATGGCTTTGCAGTCTGGCGCATTAACCCACAGTGCCTCACCAGGAGTCATGTAGTGACTCTAAACATCCCTTAGACCTCTGGACACAAAAAGTCAAAATAATAGGTTTTTTAAAGGAACTGCAAGTAAGTCCCAAATAGAAAGGTGTCCTTAAGTATTATGATTGATAAGGAGATTTGGTTTATTTTATTTATTTTGTTTAACAAGGAATAGATTTAGATATGACATTTAATCTAATTTGATTCAAGCGATTTTCTTTGGTTTCTGGATTCCCACCATATTGCCCTCTACAAACTACTTAACCGTTTCATCTGATTCACTCCCTTTCTGCCTATGTGACCATTATGTACCACACTTGCAAAGACAGTCCTAATTTTAAACCATTCGTATCATTCACATATCATGTATCGTAAATTTTGACATAGACAATATGCCCTTTAACTCTTATCAGGATTTAGGAATTTCCTGAATTCTATAGGATTTCCAGAGAGTTATCTTTAGAAAGATTGTGTATCTTTAAAAAATTGATGGGACTGTTTGTACATAAAATAGGAAATAACTATAAAATACTTCTGAGAAATATCCAAATTCATTTATTACACTAGAATTTTGATACATTAAATTTGGCTTGAAATGCATAAGCTTTTACTGAAGTTTGAATATCTTGTTACATATTTTGGTATTAGTAAGCTATTGAAGTAAGATTTACCTATTCATACTATTTGCATTTTGAGTAATAATAAGGAAAAAAGCCGTTTTGGTTCTCACAGACCAAATAACACAAACTGATTTTATATAGAGGTGACTTAATACCATGATACACTTTTGTGGTCCCAAGATATAAATCACCACCACTCTGCTTTCCTAGACTTTCTGTAGATATTAACAGGCCAGTAATCTCTGTCATCCTTATTTATTTCCAATTCAAACTTAACCAGTGAAGTTCTCTTGTTATTTTTGTAATGCCAAACAAGAATGGTTATAAGATTTAAATATTTGACTGGAATGTGGGTTTTTTAAAAAAATGTTTTATTGTGAATTATATGATAGTTTACGTGGGAGGAGAACATTAGCTTTATATTCATCCTTTCATATATTGTTTCATTGCTGTGGTTACAATCCCCTCCATGCATTGGAATACGGGTTTTTTTTCGTATGAATTATATCTTAGGTATTAGCAAGATTTTCTTTTCTCACCGTAGAAGTCTTTTGGACTTTAGTTTCCTCAAACGACCTTCTGCCATGATTCCTTTTACATTGCCATCGTTGTTACTAAGGGCTGTCAAGTCAGTTCTGACTCATAGCAACCCTGTATAGGGTTTCCAAAGCTTGTAATCTTTCCAGGGGCAGAAAGCCTCATCTTTTAAAGACTTGAACTGCCAACTGTAGTCCAGTGCTTATCATATAGAGCCACTGCTTTCCTGTCCTTATACAATGATATTATGTATTTACTAACTTTTCTAGTTATTAAAAAAAAAAAATTCCTATCTCCCCTGCTCTTTGCCTTACCATTTTACTCTTGTTTTCCCCATCCGCTTGCCCCATTTATTCAGCCACATGCCCATATACATTTTCCCTTTGCTTTGTCTCTTTCCAGCCTTCCACACTGGCAGGATTGTCATGAATTGTGGAGCAAGAAGAGGCGACGGCAGCGACAAAGTGGTGTTGTGGTGGAAGAGCCACCTCCACCCAAAGCCTCACGAAAAGAAACTACCTCAGGGCCAAGTGCTGAGCCTGTGAAGAACAACAGCCCAGCACCACCACCTCAGCCTGCTCCTGGCAAGGTGGAGCCTGGGACTGGGGCTACAGTAGGTCAGTGCTGGGGTGGGCCTTTGTGCGATTCATAAGCACATTTTGACAGGTTTTGAAGGTCAGTTGCAAGGAGAAAGACAGTGTGTGTGTCTTTTCGTATTTATCTGGTGAATCATTACAAAAGAAGTCACTGTCCTCATTATGAGGAGAAAAGAGAGAGAAACTAAGTTTTGTACAAATAGGCCAGGAAAGTCTGCAGTGGATCATTTTCCTTCAGTATCTTAATTAGATATGTGGCATAAATCAATGAATGAGATATGGCAAGCTTAAAGTGACTTTACCCATGGCTGTCAACACACATAATTTGAAACACTGTTTGTCAATTGGATTTGATAAGACTTTCTTAGAAATCTAACCATATTTCACATTAAGTCACAATTGCTAAATGTAGTTAGTTCCATGGTCTGTTCCTAGATCTATATACATCTTCTGTGATTCCAACAATTTTTCAGAATGATTGTATTTATTTTCTTAGTTCACTTTCCCTTTCCTGTCCACATACAGCAGGGGTTCTCAATGTTGACTGTACATTAGAATCCTCTAGGAAACTTTACAGATGTTTGTTGTCAAGTGCCATCAGTTCCGACTCATTGCAACCCTATATAGGGTTTCCAAGGAGCAGCTGGTGGGTTTGAACTGCTGACCTTGTGGTTCACAGTCCAGTGATGATCCTACAGCGCCATACCAGGAGTTCTTACAAATAGTCACCCCCAAATAATTGTCAGATCTTTAGGGATGGAACCTAAGGCATCTATCTGAATTTTAAAATCCTTTCTGATAATTCTGATGTCCTCTTACTGTTAAAAATCACTGACCTTGAAGAATGCAAATAAAATGAAGCTACAGTTTATTTACACACAGTACAGAGATGTTGAGTCCCTGTGTTTTGAAGCACGAATATTAAGAATAAAATCCTCTGTGTTATGACAAACTGAGGCATGAAAAAAGACATTCAAAATTAACTTTATTCTTTGGTTATTGTAAGCTGCTGTTGTTGTTAGTTGAAGAAGGCACAGGCCCTCACCCTGCTTCATGCTCTTATGTTAGTTCCTCTCTCTCCACAGGCCTTGGTGACATCACACAGCAGCTGAATCAAAGTGAATTGGCAGTGTTATTGAACCTGCTACAAAGCCAAACTGACCTTAGCATCCCTCAAATGGCGCAGCTACTTAATATCCACTCCAACCCAGAGATGCAGCTGCAGCTGGAGGCCTTGAACCAATCTATCAGTGCCCTGACGGAAGCCACTTCCCAGCAGCAGGACTCAGAGTCCATGGCCCCAGAGGAGTCTTTGAAGGAGGCACCTCTTGCCCCAGTGGTCCAGCCTTCAGCAGAACAGACAACCCCTGAAGTCTCAAGCACACCAGCTGACACACAGAATATGTTGGCAGTTCTCTTGAGCCAGCTGATGAAAACCCAGGAGCCAGCAGGCAGCCTGGAGGAAAACAACGGTGACAAGAACAGTGGGCCACAGGGGCCCCGAAGAACTCTCACAATGCCACAACAGGAGGAGGCAGCAGGTAAACAGACCGGTCATGAATCTCATTGAGCTCAGGTGCTGTTGATCCTCTTAAAAATCTCTTTAACATTTTCTTTTTCACATCAATGGCCTCGGTTTCAGTTTTTCTGTAACCTAGTCTGCGGGAGAACATAGCACCAATGGTGTATTTCTTCTTTTATCTAAGTTTCAAAGTTTCTCAAAGCACCTTACATATACTGATTGTTTTTCCACTTCCTAGGAGGTAGGTAAATAAAACCCTGTGTTCTAACCAAGGAAACCACAACCCTAACTATGATACATCTTGAAGCACTGCATGTGTGCTGGCCAACTAGTACTAGCACTTGAAAATCTGCCTTCCAAACAAACCATTATCAGCAGATTGTTGTACTGTTTTCTGTCTAGTGTAGTGGATATTGGATACCATAGTTTTACCTGGAAGTCAAGGAAACCCTAATAAAATACCATTCGTAATCTCTGAAAAATAATTTGGGAATGTTTCTAAATATAATTAACATAATATGTTTTCTTTCCAAAAAAAAAAAGTATATAAAAATGATTTCTTTAGATCTATGTTCCTGAAAGAGAGAGACTATTGAGTTGATCCTAGATTAGAAAGTTACTATTATATAAGAAAAAAACAGTCTGAAAAGGAATATGTTTATGGTTTGTTCTCACATGACCACAGCATGCAATTTAATCGAGGGAAAAGAAGTCTAAATTATTTAATCTACTCTGATCCATAGTCTATTTGCAAATGTTTACTTATTTGAAAGTGTTTTCAACTCCTTGGAAATTTTTGCCGTCCAAGAAGACCCTATGAACTGGGGAATGAGAAGAGACATAAGGGCTGACAAGATACACTAATGTTCAACTATAGGGTCCTGCATTTACAGAAAGAATATGCATAATTTCTACTGGTATAGGGTCAAACACATGAGCCATTTTTCAAATGCACAGCTTTTTAAAACTGTTAGATAATGAAATCAATCCCCCTTATTTTTTACAGTTAGGGAAATTGTAGTTCAGAGTGTTTGAATGTGGTCTCACTGCTGGTTATTGGCAGAACTAGAACTTGTATACTCATGTTTCTTGATTCACTTTGCCACTCTGTCATGCTGGTTCCAATTGTTTTTAAGAAACTCCAGGACATGGAATAACAGAGAAAGCTAACATAGAATTAAAGCAGGCCTCTTGGCCTCATCTCTTACCCCTACCCTCAAAAAAAAAAATTCCACTCTAATCAAAATATGTAAAAGAAATTGTTTAAATTAAATATCATAGTGATTGAAAGAAATTCACTCAATAATTGAGCCAACAAGCTATAAGCCAAATGATGTAATTGAACTAAAATTAAGGCCTGGCCTATGGCCAAAAATTGCTGGGTTTGTTTTTTCAGAGAAGTGTGTGAAAAGGCCACTCCTCTAGTTAATTGCTGTCACCACTAGATTATTCAGTTGGTGTCTCTATTGTATCTCCCTGTCCTGTTTCCCTACTGCTGCCTCTTTTTGGCCATGTCACTGTTCAGTAGCACTTCCACCAGAGGGCAGATTGGATAAGCCAGAAAAGGTGAAAACCTGTTCTAGCTACTCTGTACTTGTTAAGCAAGGGTGATGGTTGGTATTCAATGAATTGAATGAAGTTTTTAAGTTATTTGTACATTTCATTAATATTTCCCTCCATTAGTATAGACTACTAAGGATTAGCAATGTTGTTAAGACCTTAAATCTTAAAACCGTATGATTTGTAAAAATGTGATCTTTATTTTTTAAATTTCTTTAAGAAGTTTTGTTAGCCTTTAATGTTCTTTATAATCCATCTGCTTTGCTACTTTGGAATAATTTCATCTTCCCATTTTTATGTGAAAGAGTTTCAAAAGGTGACATGAGCTCAAGAATTGGTTCTATTGAAGCACAATTAGGCTATTTATGTAAAAGGCAAAATTTTAATACGATAAATGATATAGCTATAAGAATATAAATTTCTATTTGTCCACTTTTATGGTTAGGCATTTAAAAAAGTTGTTTGCCCTCCATATTTCAAGCACTTGATGTTCCAAAAACTTTTTAAAATAATTATTACTTGGTGTTCTTAAAGGGATATGTAGTGTTGACAGCAAACAGTTTTGAAATCTACAAGTTTGTAGTCCAGTTAGCCTTTCTTTTTCAAGATGTCTACTTTCTAAATTGTAAATTTTCTGTGGCAAATTATTTTGTCAGTAAACTCATTCTCCTCTGACACCTAGCCAACCAGCCAGTCAGTCAACAAATAACTTAGGTGGGTATTGTTTATAGGGGATTAGCTGGCTCTGGGATGTCCCCAAATGCCAGTGTAGGAACTCCTTCAGTCTTAGGCAAACTGGGCCCATACCCCTACCTATGTATTGCATATAGCACCTGACCTCATTCTTCCACTGTACAACCTAACAATTTTCTAGTGTTTTCAGAGTCCTTTCATCTGCATGCTAAGGGGATGCATACTTTGTCTTTGCAAAATATAATCAAGGTAAATCTGCTACCAAAATATCTATAACTAAAAACTGGTTTTGGCTTGTCTAGGTAGTAACTTCACATCACTAGCTCAGATAGTGAAGAATTGACTCTATGGCTATTTTTAAAATATACTTTCATAGGGAACAGAAAAATTGGTCATTTGGGAGATTTCCCAAAACATTGAATCTTCCATCAGTTGGGTAACTCACAATTTTGAATGTTCTTTTGTCACAGTGATTTGTATGTCCTCAAACTCATGCCATTTGACATTCTCCTCTCCTGCCTTGGTAGGAGTTCATTATTAAATGATTCCTATCTTAGGCAACTTTATCCAGCAGTGGAAAACAATCTGGGGAGCGGTTCAAAAAAGACAAAGATCTTTGGAAAAACACAGTGTAGTGTTAGTTCAGTATGTTTCTGAATCCCCAGTTCTTGTCATTTTTTCCAAGGTAAATAGGTGTTTATCAAACATCCATCTGCACGATACTAGGTGCTACAGTGACTTTTTTCATAGCATGGAAAAAATGCAGGAGGTAGGAAAACAAAATAGAAAACTATGATAGAAGATACTATAGTCTTTATAATTACTGTAATATAGGAAGTTGAATGACAGTATGATCTTTTAAATATCCCTTCAGAATGTAATTATGGGGAAGGGTACTTAAGTTTTGAGTTGCAGGTGTATATTTATACATGAAAGTAATGGAAGATTTTTACTTTTATTTCATCTATCTTGTATATTCTTAAGTTCTATTTCAGGTTAACCTTATACCATTAAACTTTCTGTAAAATGTGCTAGTGAAGTTTATGCAAGGTCTCTTGTTGTACAGCAAAATTATGTCTTAGCAATGTGACCACAGCATGTATATTGTTCCTTCTCATCTTCCTTCTTTCTACTTTATTTTCATTAATATTTTGATCCAACAGCAAAAACAGGGGTAGGGGATGGGGGGTTACTGCCACCAGCCTACACATTAGAACAGTTTCTTAAAGAAGGAAATGGAGAAAATCTCAGACAAAAATCAGAATAATTTGAAGCTTCATGGTCTTTGCACACCAGCTGTTAGATCCAGAATGCAACTGTCTTATTTTTAATCTCTTGATTTTATTTATAAATTGCGATTTCCTGGTCCCAAAATTTTATTCTTTATATATTTGGTTATTTGTATTGATACTTGTTTATGTTGGGCCGTGTGTGTGTGTGTTTGTGTTTATAATCACATGTGATTTTTAAGATGGTGTTTAAAAGAAGTAACCCTTCCACAGCATGTCCTCCTCACATTCTTCCACCAGAGAAGAGGCCCCCTGAGCCCCCTGGACCTCCACCGCCGCCACCTCCACCCCCTCTGGTTGAAGGCGATCTTTCCAGCGCCCCCCAGGAGTTGAACCCAGCCGTGACAGCCGCCTTGCTGCAACTCTTATCCCAGCCTGAAGCAGAGCCTCCTGGCCAGCTGCCACATGAGCACCAGGCCTTGAGACCAATGGAGTACACCACCCGACCCCATCCAAACAGGACTTACGGAAACACTGATGGGCCTGAAACAGGGTTCAGTGCCACTGACACTGATGAACGCAACTCTGGTCCAGCCTTGACAGAACCCCTGACCCAGCCCCTGGTGAAGAACAGGACCTTCTCAGGCTCTGTGAGCCACCTTGGGGAGTCCAGCAGTTTCCAGGGCACAGGGTCAGTACAGTTCCCAGGGGACCAGGACCTCCGCTTTGCCAGGGTCCCCTTAGCGTTACACTCAGTGGTTGGGCAACCATTCCTGAAGGCTGAGGGAAACAGCAACTCTGTGGTGCATACAGAGACCAAATTACAAAACTATGGGGATCTTGGGCCTGGAACCACTGGGTCCAGCAGCTCAGGAGCAGGCCTTAACTGGGGGTCTCCGGCCCAAGCTTCTTCCTATGGAAAACTCTATCGGGGGGCTACGAGAGTTCCGCCAAGAGGGGGAAGAGGGAGAGGAGTCCCTTACTAATCCAGAGACTTCAGTGTCCTGAAAGACTCCTTCCCTACCCATTCTTCCATTCTGTCCTCTCAACCATGAATGAAATCATTTGCCAGAGCAAGGTAATTGTCTGCATTTGGCTACCACAAAACTGTCCGTTGTATTCCTTGCTCGCTTGCTACTAGCAGGTTACAGAGAATAATGATGTCGGCACCACTTGCCCCTGGATGGGCTATAGCCAGAACATTTACTTCAACTCTACCTACTAAGATACAGATAATATGGAGAGGGTTATTAAATTGAAAAGTTAATGTTTTATTAGCTCATTACCTGTATTTGTTGAGCAGAAGAGCTAGAGAACAGTTTCAGTTTTGAGATGTGACTATAAGAGTCTCTCTTGAGGTTTCAAGTTTTTTGGTTTTTTTATTTTGTTTATTTTGTGGGCTTTTGTTTGTTTGTTTGTTTGTTTTTATTTTAATTTAGTGTTTCTTTTTTAAAGAGAATAGTGTTCACGAAATTCGAGCTGCTCTTAGACTTTTGCTCTAAGGGAAACAGTGACCTGGCTAAGTTAAAGAAATGTCTCCTCCTCTCCACCATCACACTATTTTTACTTTGAAGTGAACTTTTTTTTTCCCCTCTCATTGAGCATCTTGGAACATACTTTTTTTCCAAAATAGATTACTCATCTTAACGTTTGTTCTGCTTTGACAAAAGGCATGCACCCTCTCCCTGCACACTAAGCAGGTTGTGGAAAGTGGCATTCTTGGGCAAGTAGATAGCCTTGACTCCATCTTTTTCCTTTTTGCCTCATTTTTATAGTTTCCTTTTGCTTTCTTTCTTTTTTTTTTTTTCTTTTTCTTTTTTTTGAGGCATTTGTTTGGAAAATAATCATTAAGCTCTCCAAGACTCTGGGATACAATTCATTTTTTGAAATAAAGGAAAGGAAATTCAAACTCCTACATTGTTCTCTGCAACTCTTCAATTCCAAAAGGGTTTTGTTTTTGTTTTTTAACCGTGTTCTGATGGGGAAGTTAATTTGTAAAAAGCTGCTAGGACAGTGCTGCTGAGCTGGGGTTAAAGATGATACCTCTATACCTAGAGGGCCAACGAGAGCAGATAGCATATTGTTTACACGTATATTTTTATGTAAAAAAAAACAAACAAAACTTTCAAACAGAGCATTGTAATATTGTCAAAGAAAAGAAACTACATCCTGAAGTACGTGGAAATATAACTTAGTTTAGTATATTTTTCTGAAGCTGTATCAATACCTGATACCTTTTTTAAATCATTTTTAAAGAGCGGACCATGAGATAGAACAGTATTGACATATACACATCCCAGCGTGTATATCCTGCCAGTTCTTTTAGGATTTTCCTTTGGAGGTAGATTCTGGATTTCGGTAAACGGGGCTAAAGTTTGACTTCCTGGTAAGAACTTTGCCTTATCATAAACAGGAAATGGAAAAAGGAAAGGTTCTCAAGGTGGGGTAACTTGGGAGGCTTCTCACTCTGGCTTCAATTTATATTAAGTACCAGCATATAAAGTATTTGAAAAAGAGATGCACATTCATATAAATTATCTGCCGACTTAGACCTTTGTGAACAGATTAGTCCTCTTTTAACAAGGAAAAGGCATCTTGGAGAATAGTTTTCAGAATTCAAGTAAAGTTTTGTGTTTCAATGCCAAGTTCATATATAAAAAATAAAAACTATAAGAGAAAGGTGCACTAATAAAAAAAAAAATAATTAAAGAATCATCTTGAGATAAAGTACATGAAGACTGTTTCCCTTGTTACCAAAATAGGTAGATATCTGGTGTGTGTATTGCTTTCTTATTCTCTGGTTTTTGGTCTGGCCTTTTCCTTAGGGCCAAACATTGATTAGAAGGAGAACCTTTTAACCATTTTGGCATTGATGGCTTTTATACCAGTGTGTCCAATTAGATTTGCTAGGATCACTGAGATGCTATTTATAAATTGCATTAAAGTTCATCTGAACCTTAATGTCTGTTGACTTCTTAGTCCTCAGACATGAGCCTTTTGTATTTCAGAATATTTTAATTTGAGGCTTTTGACCTAATTTTTTATTAAAGAACCTAAGCCTGGGATACTTTTAAAAGTATCTGTTTAGTGAAAAAAATTCAATTCCCATCAAATATGAATAAAATTCTCTATATTTTCGTTGTGTTTTGGTTATCAGCCGTCATCAATAATGTTTTTTTGTCCCCCACTCCTATCTTTTGTTTTTAATTATGTCAAATACCCTAAATAATATACTTAAACTTCCAATTCCCTGATCCCCACTTAAGGAAGGGGTGAGTGCCTGTGTGTATGTTTGTGTATGGTTCCCATCTCACTCTCTTCACCCCATTTTGGGAATCTAAACTTAAAGTTTGGTAATAGGACTCTTTCTAAAAGCAGAGGAAAAAAATTCACTTAAATATCCTCGAATCTGTATGAAGAAATAAAAGGTATTTGTTAATTTTTCAGTTACATTATCTATAAACATGATGGAAGTAAAGGTTTGGCAGAATTTCAACTTTATTATTAGAAAATTGCAAATTCAATTTCATTCAAAAGTGTCTTTGGTTTTGTTTTGTTTTAATTATTATGCCCTGGGATATGTTAAGTATTAAATACATTATTTTGAACATGAGAAATCTCTTCATGGTAAGAGTCAAAACTGGTTTGACCAGGATCATTTTTGTGGTTTTGAAAACAACTTTGCTTGACCCAATTTCCTTAGTTTTTCTTCAGCTGCCCATAGAAACAAGGATTTGAAATTGAGAGCAGCTCTTTTATGTTTAAAGGGCAATTAGCACAAATTTGTAAGGACTTTTATTAGCTTATACCATAGATAACACCCAACCACTTGTGTGTGTGTGTATGTGTGTGTGTGTGTGTGTGTATATAAATAATATGCATATATATAGTTACAGTGCTAAAATGGTTACCAGCAGGTTTTGAGAGAGAATGCTGCATCAGAAAAGTGTCAGTTGCCCCTTCATTCTCCCTGATTTAGGTTCCTGACACTGTATTCCTTTCTCTCTCTTGCTCTTGCCCCCTATCGGGTGTATCTTGTCTGTGTACAGATATTTTGTAATATATTAAATTTTTTCTTTTCAGTTTATAAAAATGGAAAGTGGAGATTGGAAAATTAAATATTTCCTGTTATTATACCACTTTTGCTCCATTGCATTTACTTCTTAATCTGTACCCTCTGAGCAGATATGATCATGCGCAAAGGGCATTTTTCCTTATCTTAGAGGTTCTCTGTCTCAGAATCACTGTAGACTCAAAAACTACCCATAAAGAGTTGTCAGCGTTTGAAGTAGTCCTTGAAAACACTAGGCTAGGAACTAGAGAACAAAAGGAGTTGGTGGCGAAATGATCATGTGATTTTTTATTTTTATTTTTTTTAAAGTAGAATATGGTTACACACAAAAAAAAGATGGTGATGCCAGGCCATCCAAAGAGTTGAGTTTCATGTACCCTGACTCCTCCTGACAGGAGAGGTAAGTGGGTTTGAGCTCAACTACCATCAAGGAAAGTTGGTAAGAAGCTGTTAAGACCTAAAGGATAGTCTTTCAAAGTAGAAACTCCTCAACCCTAGGCCCAGTTCTTTCCAAGATGTTGATAGGGTAGTAATGGTCAGCAGCATGGGGATTTCCTGATACATTGCCAACCCAGGAAGTGCTTCAAAGTTGTTTTAAAGGATTGTCAAAACCTTCCCATCTCCACCTGAGAAGAGACTTTCCTTTCTCTTTTCATAATTTAGAACAGTGAGGATTATCTTTTCCCTTGTACAGCATGTACTAGTTATGACATAAATAGGCAGAAAACAGATAAGATCAAACATCAGGAAACCATGGAAAAAAGTAGTTTAAGTGAGGCGAACAATCATACAAGGTTAAGGCGTGCACCAGAACAAGGGAAGTAGGAAGAAATTGAATTCAAAGACTGGTGACTGAATCCTCAAAGTTTAAGTATGGTGTTTCCTTGCCTGTGGGCTAAAACATTTACTGAGAAGGAGACTGTTAAGTACCATTAAGTCGGTTCCGACTCATATGGACCTTGTATAGGGTTTCCAAGGAGTGGCTGGTGCATTTGAACTGCCAACTTTGTGGTCCAATGCTTACCCTATAGAGAGTTCAAAATTGTCCCATTTCCTGGAATTCTGTGTTTCAAGAGTAAAGGAATTCATTTTAAGTCTTTATATATTGCAAGTTCATAACTAAGGGTATGAACCTCGGCCTTCTAGAGAAAATTGTTTTCATTTACAGCAATGGCTGTAATTTAATTTATAATTAAAGGCTTAGGACCCTAACTAACCTGGACTTTTTTCTCGCATCAGTCCCAAGGCCATTCTGACTAGAAACCTTACTGTTAAGAACCTAAACTTCCCAGACTGGCATTCTTTACTATATGGTAAGGTTAAATTTCTCAAAGATGTTAATAGTTCCTACCTTGGTGCTAAACTGTGACTTACTTTGTTAAACTGAAAGTTACCCACTAGCTTGACTTTTTTAGGGATAGACTGACATCTGTTCACATCTTAGTCATTTTGAAGAATTAGGCAGAATGGGAGGGATTGGGAAGTATCTTTCAAAGTGAGGGAGGTAGTCATTCCAAGGGCGAGGCAGAACTTGTGGAGTCTTCAGCTTAGGTTGAGAAGGAAGGTAAGCATTCCTGGGCACTTTGGTTACCTTTGGTTTTACTGTCCTGTTGTGGAATTTCTCAGAGATCAGGACTATGAGTGTTCCTATAGCCTTGGGAATACTCCCAGGATAAATAGGAGTTTATGCCAAGCCAGGGTTGACAGACTTTGGGCAGAGTATGACGCCTGAAGGAATTACTGGTGGTACTCTGCCACTTTACACCATATGCAGCTGTCTCCCTATCCTATCTACCCAGTTCTCTTCATTTCCTTTTTATCTCTCTTCTCCCTACTCACCAATCAACCCCTATGATTTTAGTTTTACCATAGGTATTGATTGCTTAACCCTGCTGAGTATTTAGCATTATCACT